GCGGTTGTTGTGTATTTACTTTGCTGAGTCCCCGATGCTGATAGTTTTGTCCTTTAATTATATGTTAGAGAAAATTATTATATTTATTATATTTTGCTCTTTTTTCAGGTTCTTTGGAGACAGAAACATCAATTCCAACAAAAACGTCAATAATAACAACAGCAAGTACGGCTGGAAAAATGAAATCAATAAAATGCACAGAATTATTCAGTGAAGTGAAGGTTGCTGGGAATTCAAAGTTAAAGGAACAATATAGTTTTAGGAATTCAAAACTGTATTCCTAACACTATAGTGTCCCTCTTCCACCGGACCCCGCTGGACACCCCTGTCAAGAAAAAATTTCACTTACCTGATTCCAACGCCAACGGTGCTGGTTTGCGCTCCTCCTCCTGTGACATCACGAGAATGGGCACGCACCCATTAGGCCTTCCCCATAGGAAAGTTTTGACTCAATCTAGAAGACGGCCACTAGAGGATGTTTCACTAAAACTACAATGTTTTACATTGCAGGGCTAAGGGGGGAAAGGACACTGTACCCAGACCAATAAGATGAGATGAAGTGGTCTGGGTGCCTACAGAGTCCCTTTAATTTCTAAATGTAATTAGAAATCTTCATCCGGTCAGTTTTGCTTTCCATTTTCTTATATTGGTTTTAACTTTAAACATCATGTTGAATTCCAACCAATCCTCACTTTAGAGAATAATGCTGAGAAAATGACAATTATTGTGAGTGGATTGTTACAGGGAACCTTATAGACATCAGGGACAATACCAATGTACACATCACTTTCTGATCAGGTGTTCCTATTCATATTAAGTACGGATGACTAAGGGTTAAAAAGAATAGATGGTAATTTGCTGCATATTTACTACACTGTTAGGGTGTTGGGGATAGGGTGGTAGTGTTAGAATTAGGGTAGAAGTGCTAGGATGGGTTAAAGTTGTAGTGTTAGGATGGGTTGGAGTGTTAGGGTCATGATGGGTTGGGGTGGTCGGTTTATGATGGGTGTAGGGTGGTAGGGTTAGGGTTAAGGTGGTAGGATTAGGATGAGTTAGAGTTAAGGTGTTAGGGTTTTGGATAGGTTAGGGTAAAGGTGGAAGGGTTTGGATGGTTTATGGTGATAGGGTTATGATGGGTTAGAGTGGTAGGCTACATTGGGTTAGAGCTAAGGTGTTAGAGTTAAGGTGATAGAGCTAGAATGGGTTAGGGTTAGGGTTAGGGTTAGGGAGGTATGGTTTAGACAGGTTATGGTTGTAAAGTTAAGATAGGTTAGGGTTAGATTGGTAGGTTAGGATGGCTTACGGTTAAGGTGGAAATGTCAGGATGGGTGAGGGTTAGAATGGCAGGGTTAGGATGGGTTAGTGTGGTAGAGTTAGGATGGTAATGGTTAGGAAGGATTAGGGTGCTGTGGTAAGGGTTAGTGTGATAGCCTTAGGATGGGTTAAGGTTATGATGGATTAGGGTGGTAGCGTTAGGGTTAGTGTGGTAGGGCTAAGATAGGTTATGGTTAGGATGGATTAGGGTTGAAGGATTAGGGTAAGTGTGGTTGGGTTAGGATGGGTTATGGGTAGTTGGATTAAGGAGTTAGGGTTAGTTTGGAAGTGTTAGGATGGGTTATGGTTAGGATGGATTAGGGTGGTCGGGTTACGGTATGTGTGGTAGGGTAAGATGAGTTACGATTAGGGTGGATTAGGGTGGTAGGGTTAAGGTTAGTGTGGTAGGACTAGAATGGGTTATGGGTAGGATGGATTAGGGTGGTAGAGTTGGGTTAGTGTGGTAGGGCTCGGATGGGTTATTGTTAGGATGGATTAGGGTGGTAGGGTTATGGTTAGTGTGGTAGGGCTAGGTTGGTTTACGGTTAGGATGGATACGTGTAGTAATGTTAGTTTGGTAGGGCTAGGATGATTAGGGTGGTAGTGTGGTGGTAGGGTTAGTGTGATATTAATAGGATGGGTTATGGTTAGGATATATTAGGGGGTATGGTTAGTGTGATAGGGCTAGGATGGGTTATGGTTAGGATGTATTAGGGTGGTAGGGTTAGTGTGGTGGGGCTAGGATGGGTTATGGTTA